AAAAAATAAATACTTTAGATACCAGGTTTCTAAAAACCATATAGTAATTTAAGCTTCTAAAACACTATATACTAGCATACTAATTTAAGCAAATAACATATTTACTTTCTTACCTGAAGTTGAATAACTACATTTAGCATATAAACTTTAAACTTATAAGTTAATTTTTTTAAACATAGATTTTTTTCTGTTAAAATTCCTTAATATAATTAGGCAAATCACAATGTATAAAATGTTATAAACATGGATAAAACTTTTTAGACAAAATAAAGTATAACAACTCCAGGTACTCTTTATAGGTTTTAAAAATTGATCTCTTCACAATTATATAGAAAAGCAAGCAACCCACTAATTTTCCTTTATTTTTTTTCCTGGCAGTATATCCCGATGCATTTGGAAAAGAACTAATTCATTTAATTAGTTCTTTGACACAAATGACTTTGCTGCATGATTCAAAATTAATAAGGGTAAATTATAAATTACCCTTAATGATAAGATAGATAATGTTTGATCTAGGTAAGAAAAGCTCAAGAGACTACCTTTAATCTTTTCCTATTATCACACCTGACTTAATATTTTATTTATCTATATAATATTTGAATGTTTTCATGTATATAAATATATTAATATTTGCATATAAACTGGCATATCCAGAAAACATCTCTGTTCTTGAGCATCATTTACAAAAGGGGTACACTTTTCATTTAACAGAAGTTTATTCCATCACATGATAAATATTAGTATATTTTGCCACAGATTTTTAGTTAAAATATTTATCATCTACTAATCTATCAATTTATGAATTTTGACATTCTCTACAAATAATCCAAACACAGCCCAATTCTAATTATTTTATTATTAAATAAGTTATCAGCTTTTTAGGTTAGTTGTTCTTTCCCCCACTTAATGCTGGCAGTACCTGTCATGCTTTCTACTTTTCGTTACTCATCTCTACTGCTTCCCATATTTCTGCAATTCTTCCATGAGTAAAATGCCTTTTGTTACTGCTACCAATAAGCTAAGGTCTGGAAAAGGAAATAGTCAACCCTGAAAAGATTTCTAATAGGGACATAGTATGAAGCATCATGGAATACATACATCTGTGTATTAGGAAAAGGATTTATTCCAGAGGGATGAGGTTGTCAAGGAGACCCACCTCCAGATCATCAGGGTGTTAAACCTGTGCTGTTTAACACAATAGCCACTAGTCACAAATGACTATTTAAATTTAAATTTTCATGAAAAATTTTAAAAACTCAGCTTCTCAGTTGTGTTAGACATATTTCAAGGGCTCATCAACAACCTGTAGCTAGGAGCTACCGTATTGGACAGTATAAAACATTTTCACCCAACACAGAAAGCTCTAAGGGAGAGTAGTGTGTTAAACTATTTTGAATATGAATATGTACTATTTCAGAAAAAAGTATTAAAAATTATAATATTAAATTTAAAAGGAATATTTATTTATTCATTTAACAGATATCTATGAAAACTAGTGTATGTCAGTGATTGGGTTGGGCAATGTTCAAAAAGATACTCACTGCTCTCTGAGAGCTTGTTTCACTACAAATCTATCTGTATTTTCCTCCATAAAAAGACTGGCTTATGAAAGTTGACACAACACAATTCCAGTCAAAGAGATGTAGAGGAAAACATTGTGGGTGGCTTTCAGGGAAGATCTCACTGCTTTAAAAACAGTGTTCTCCGTTGGTACGCCTGGACATTGTTAGTGTGATGCTTACACTACTGCAACCAACTCAAGACCATGTAGGGACAAGGCTCAGGGGAAAAAAACGTTTTGGGGGAAAGCAAAACAGAAATATGAGAAGAGGCTGGGCTTCTAATGACACCATCAAGGTATTAAACCAGGAACCTTAAATCTGTTTTAACCTTTTAGTTGTTTTCTATTATTTGCAGCCAAAGTCATGCTAAACAATATCCTATACAAATGTAACAACCAAACATCTGTATGCCATGTCAGAATTAAAAATATGTTTTCTGACTTCTTCAACTGTAGTTTTTTTAAGCTCTAAACATATTTTTTTTTCTATTTAAGGATATTATTTTTCTATTCGAAGCATATTTTTTATCCATTTAATAGAATAAAGATGTTTTGATATATTACTCATCACATTTATAGTATCTACTTTAGTTTCTGTAAGAACTTAATAGAAAATTTTAGAAAATTTTATCTTATTTTTAAAAACAATTTTGAAGTAAATATGTGACATTTGGCAATGTTATTTTTTTCTTTTGGAAAAACTTTCATAATCTTAGTTTGTAAAACAAAAAGTGCAATCTGAATATTCTTGCAGTTTTTATAAGCATTGAACAAAAAATTATGTTGCTTCAAAGGACTTTGGGTTGTGTTAATTTACTCAACCTATAAGCCTTATATTTAGCATTTTATAAACAGTTATTTGCAGTGAACTTGAAACTGTGTTGGCATTTATATATAGCATAATATATTTAGTAGCCTATAAAAAGTTAAGTAAATTAAAAAGGAAAGCTTTAATTTGTATTAAAAAATTTCTCTACCTTAAGAGAACAAAATAAAAGTTAAATACATATGAGGCCTGGCCCAGCTCTGCCTCTGCTTAAAACCACTGTAAACATGGGAGACTTACTGCAAGCACATCAAAATCACCTCACATATTCACTGATGTTAAAACATGGAATATGAAATACTGTAGGTTCTCTTTGAGAATATAAGACTATGGATGGGGCTTATGTTAAAATCAGGACACACACAATCCAAAGTCTGTCTTTGATAGTTTACTATCAAAGCAGGGCACAATGAAGGAGGTTTTTTGACATTATCATCCAAATAGTAATGTGTGCCCAAACCATGCTGAAGTTCCTGAATAATTACATGAAAACATATTGCATAATCATAGGAAGCTGGCTTTAAGTTATATTTCTTCCATGTTGTTTTGTGGCTAAGTTCCATAAAGCTATATTTCAAGGCACACAGCATTCATTTTCTCATTCTCTCTTTCTATCCATCTCACCTCAAGGAATGACCCTCGTTTAAGTTTATGGCATTGTGTAAATGGTTAAGTCTTGGTATATGCCTCTTTCATCTTTCTAAACTGAGGATTGCTAAGCATTTTGGCCTCTGTGCCTACTTTACACATTGATTGTTTTGGTTGTTCTGCTTTCGCATACAGCTACAAAATAGATTAACTTTGTTCTACTGTGATTAAAACAAGGAAAGGTTAAATTCCTTTCTAACTATATATTACTATATTTCATAAAAAGAATTAGTTAATTACTATCAAATTTAGAGGGATATTCAATAGGACCTGACCAAAATTATAGCATAGATAAGACATAATATTCTCTTTTCTGGTTCCTGGGGCCCAACAGAGAATAGGCTTTCTCCTCCCACAAACCCCTTTGCGAAGCTAAAATTAAAGCACAAAGACAGGACTTTAAGTGTCATTATTGACAGATCATGAAAATTACAGAACAATGTGTCATGGACAAGGGGGAAAAACTAAGAATTTCAAATTACTGAAATTAATTCCAACTTGAAAGTAATAAATGCTGATACTGATGCTTTGGTGTTTGTTGATTGTCAAATACATCAGCAAATCTATATTGCCTTTTCTAGAGTAAGCTACAGAAAAGAAATATTTATTAACAATTCTCCCAGGAAAAATGTTATAGTCCTGCTAGTTTCCATAAAATCAGGATGACTTTCTCTGTTTAATTTTAAAAACTCTTTGCTTTGATGATCAATATTTGAAAAAAAACAAGAAAATTTTGTGGGTCATAAAAACACTTGAATTTTATATCTATGGAGAAATGTAAAATGACAGGATTTTTATTCCAATATTGTACCTTTCAATTTCATTTCATCAGCCTATGAAATTTCTTTGCTTTATAAATTCATT